CGCCATACGCCCCATACCAAGAAATAAAACATAAGAAAAAAACATAAACATAACGTAAAAACAAGAACAATAAAGTGTTATTCGGATGTTTATTGATTAAAATAAATTATTGTTTTGAAACTTAAAAACAAAAAAAAACATCGTATGAATCTTGGACATGCTAAAATATTTACGAAATTCACCCAAACTTCTATAGTATTCTCCTGCTTAGAAAACAACACGCCTTTTTATCAAATTATTGACATTCGTCAAAAACATTGGGAAGGGCATTGTTCTTACCTACAACTAACTAAGAAAATCTTCGAAAATTGACTGTTTTGCCATTAAATTAATTAATTCAATGAGATACCAAAAGCTTATGAATGCCCATTTTTATTTCACTTAAATCGTAAGATAATTTGATCACAAAATCGATAAAAAGGTGGTCTATAAAATAATTATAACCACGTATAATCTCGTTATTTTGACCTATTGTGGCCGGAGGTTATGCGAAACAGAATTTATGTATTTATGTATTTCATATTTATTCTCTATTTCGTAATCAAATTATCTTATGATTCAATTGGAAAAAATAGGTGTTAATAAGTTTTTAGAACCTCATTAAACAGACAGAGTTTACAGATCTCTATATTGAAAACACCCAATTTCCTAGAATTTTCGTAAATAAAAAGGTTGTAGGTTACGATAAGATGGATACATTCATGAAGTTTTAGAGGGATGTTTATAATTTGATAAATAGGGGTCTGTACCGTGGACTTCTCTACATAATGAATAGTAGATATAAAATTAATCTTTCCCTCTAGAAAAATCTTCAGTACTGTACAAATGTCAATTATTTTTGCCACAAATAACATGAAAATATGTACAATCATACTGTATATTCAGTTCTAAAGACGATGCAAAGTTTGTACTGTTATAATCGTAATTACTATGATTATTAATTATGATATAATTTAAATTTCAACACGAATTTACAGCCTCAAAGCTCACGTGTTTAGAACTTTATAATTATAACCAATATACTTTTTCTTTTTATTAATATTTTCCCATTGTGGTTATCCCAAGGCTGGTAACAAGACTAACAGAAGAGGAAAATTAGGAGGTTCGACATCTCGAAACCAAAATAGCGAAGAATAATTTCAAATGCGTTCTACAACTTCATTTCTTTAAATCTCCATTAATAAAGTTGAGATAGAAAAATAGAAGAAGAACAATGGAGATTTATATATATATATATATATATATATATATATCATTTTCTTTTTTTTCTAGAAGTTGATTATTATGGCCGACGTCCTCATAAGCACATATTTTCTTCATAAAGTTATTTGTTTCCTCTTAATGTCTACTTTGTTTACGGAAAGCTTTTAAGAATGAGCGGTACAAAGAATCTTATATTTTTTCTATTTGATCATTTGATGGCTTCTCAAAACAGAAGTATAAAATGTCGCAAAATCTCCGTTCTGGGAATACAATGTTAGTTTGTATCGGTGCACGATTCTAGTAAAATTTTCTAAACGACACAAACAGAATCTTAATGATCGGAACATTGAAGTTTGCCTAGGATTTGTATGCAGTGACGCAATGAATATTAATTACACACTGCTTCTCATTTTACTATCTTAGAAATAAAATCAAAGTTCAAAGGAACAGTCTCAAGAAAAAAGAAATACCCCTTTCTGATTCAAAGAAACAAGTATCTTGGACAGACCATTCAATTACTGAAATGGTGAAAAAAGTAGTTATTGAAAATATATATATAAATAAGGTATAAGCTAGAAATCCTTAATCGATTATTCTTTTGCCTTTATTTTTAGTATATTTTTATGGCAATAATATTCGTTATTCTTCTAGGCACTGCTTACAAGTGTTGTTCCACTTCGATGGGCTGGCTCAAGTTCACATGAACACACTGTAAACGGCATTCCAATAATGACAGATTATGTCCGAAAGTGGACGAAGGTGACCGAACTATCTCGTAAGGCACCGGCTTTAACTCTCTCAAGGGTCCGTTGAGAGT